TAGGACAGTATAGTCTTCTCCAGAAAGCTCTCTGGGACCTGTCTTCTTTCCCCAGGCTGGGCATGGTATGTGCCTCACGCTATAGTCTCTGCTAGCCACTGACCTCCCCACAGGACTAAGATGTCGTGGAGGATGGGGATCCTCTGGTCCCCAATGTGTTGTACCATGGATCATGACTGGACTCAGGGTTTGTTAGTTGGAGATGGATGAAGAGATGGAAGGATGGAAAATGGATGGTTGAATAGATAGATGGATAGAGATTATTGGAGCGATAGATGGGAGGAAAATGGATGGTTGGACAGATGGATAGATAGGAGAGATGGCTAGATGGGTAGAGAAATGAATGGAGGGATTGATGGATAGGGAGGTAGATGGATGGAGGGATGGACAGATGGGTGGTTGAAGAGAAATGGATGGATGGATGGATGGATGGATGGATGGATGAGAGGGAGATGTGTGGAAGGATGGAGTAAATGGAGGGAGAAAGGGGTGAGGGCATGAGGCAGTCTTGGGAGGAACACAGGGCCTTGAGCTATGGTTTGCCTGAATGCAGTCCTGCTTCACTGAGTCCTGGTGTGGTATGGAGAGAAGGTAACTAGCCTGGAATTTGGGGCCCTGGTTCTCCTGAGGGTGGAATGCTCCTGTAAAGCCCCTCCTCTTCTCAATCTGTGCAGTGCTGCAGTCCTCCCTACCCCACCAGCCAGGCTCAGGCTCAGGGGAGATGGCAATACAGAGATATTGGAAAAGATACTGCATGTGGCTCCCTGCTAGACAGTGGTACATGGGCAGATCACACCATAATGTAAAGGACAGACAGGAGCTGGGGACTGGCACTTGGCTGTTCTCTTTCTCTTGCCAATACTTTATTTTAGTTGTTGGTAACAAAAGTAACTGTGTGACACTTTTTTTTTTTTTTTTTTTTTAAAAAAAAAAAAAAAAAAAAAAAAAAAAAAAAAAAAAAAACTTGACACATGGAAACTTTTACTGGGTAGACTGGGAAAAAAAAGGTTCATTGATTCAGAGACCAGACCTGAGCCATGGGCACAGGGAAAGCCCAGGTGAGAGGGGCTCAGCCAGCTGCCTTTGGGCCTAAGGAGATTCCATTCCTGGCCTCCAGGGGCTCAACAGATTCCTTCTGCCCTTGACTAACCCACCTGACAGCACAGAAAGTAACTGGGCTGGCCTGCTTCCCCTCAGTCTAGCAGGGCTCTGGGGCAGGTGCTTGCCAACAGGCACATTTACATATTTCTTCCAGGGCCACTTGGTGCAATCACTGCAGGTGGGCCACTAATGGCCGTCATTATGCACCCACATGTGGTAAGGGCCACCATACCACACCACCTGAGCTCATACCAGCCAACCACTGCCCTCCAGGCTTGCTGGGAAAGCCAGAGCATACCCCAGACATGGGAGGCCCCCTCACCATGGAGGAGACCTCTGCTAAGCTTTCTGTCCACATATCAGGAGTCCCCAGGAGGCTCTAAGGACGGAGGGAAGATGGGTATGCAAGGCAAAAGGGAAGGCTCACCACAGCCTCACTCAGACTCTTGGTTTTCTCAATGAGAAACCGGAGTGAGGAAGGTGTTGGATGCATAAGAAATTATGTACCTACTGTGTGCATGGCATTGAGCCAGGCACTGGGACATCCAGCCTCAAATTTTCCCTCTGTGTCATTTCACCCAATTACATCATAGCCATTGTAACTGTGGAACCACATGGAGAGGGAAGGTACCCATTACAGGAAGGGAGGGACGGCATGTGAGAGGGTCCACCTCACAGGAGGGGAACAGAGCAGGGAAAGGCCCACCTACCACATGCGTTCATGCTATAAATGTATTTGCATGTGCATTCATGTCAGTCTGTGTATTCATGTGTCTATGAATAAACATGTTCTGTGTATCCATGCATGCCCATGAATGTGTGTTCATGTGTGTTCCTCGATACAAATGTGTGGATGTCAAGGTGCATGCATCTGACCATGTGTTTGTCCACATGTCTAAGTGTGTATGTGTGCCTATGTGCTCATTTTCATGTGTGGGCTGATTTGTACTTGGGTGTATACACTTGGGCGTTCATGTTTGCCTGTCAGGGTTTTTGTTTCCTTTGTTTTTGAGACAGGGTCTCCCTGTAGCCCCAGCTGGCCTGGAACTCACTCTGTAGATCAGGCTGGCCTTGAACTCACAGAGAGCTCTGCCTGCCTCTGCCTCCCGAGTGCTGGGGTTAAAGGCATGTGCCACCATGCCCGGCTGGGTAAGTCTGGTTTTATGCATGTTTGTTCATGTGCCTGCAATGGTGTCAACATGTGCATGGCCATATGAATTAATCTCACTGGCGGCATTATAAGGTCATGTAGGAGGTGGGGGCTGCAACTGGTGAGCTGGGTCAACCAGAGGGGCGCCTTGAGGATGGTCAGACCAGTGCTGCCTGGCTCCTGAGACCTGGGGGAGCCTGAGGTAAGCACGCTGAGGCCAGTGGAGTGAATCTGCCTTCTTCCTGGACCCAGAATTTCAAAAGCAGAAATTGGTATTTTGTGTGTCTATGGTTGGAGCTCCAGGCTCCCAGGATGCACCCACCGTCCTCAGTGTGTGTGAAGACCCAGCCACCTGCCCCCACCCCCAGCAGTACTAAACAGTTTCCTTGGCCTGGCCAGGGAGGCAGATGACCTCATTGGACTCTTTCCATCTCTCGCTTTCATAGAGAAATTACAATTTATAATTGGATGAAATCACGCGGGTGGTAATAGCAATAAGGGCTTAGGCTGCAGCCATCGCTGCTGCTTCATGCAGGAACAGGCCTGTCTTTGCCCCTGCCCAACCCCACCCTGCACCTGCCTGGGGCTGTGCCCACTTGCCTGCTTGCACCCGCATCCCTGATTGGTCCTGGCTATTTTGAGTTGCTGTCGGGCCCTGCTAGCTCTCTAGCTTCCTGGGGATCCTGAACAGCACCCCTACCCCCACAGCCCCTTCATGTCCTGACCATATCTTCTCTTCTTCCCATGTGTTTCCTGTGGCGGGGCAAGCCCATGGGCAGCCCCCTCTGCTCGGGCATGGGCTTATTAAACAGGCACATTAGATGAGCCTGCTGAGATACAGAGTGGTTCTCGAATCAGCCACCTTCAGCCCTACAAAGGAAAGTGCCCAGATGCAGCGGAGCCCATCTGGATCCCATTTCAATCCAGAGCCAGGTTCTCAGATGTGTCATAAAAGCCCCTTTCCACAGAGGGGCTCTGGCAGGGGAATGCAGATACCAGGGCTGGGCCTTCAGGGCTGGCTGCTAATGAGAGGGAGGGGACAGCTTTGTTTTGTTTTGTATTCCTGGGAGCAGCCTGGAGCTGGAGCCTCGGCAGAAGGAGGGCAGCAGGGTAGGGAGGTCTGGGCTGCCTAAGAGATGGGTTGGAGAAGGAGAGAGGCCAGGACACTGAGACCCAACTTCCTGGGCCCCTAGTGATCCAGAGAAGCTGAGCTGGCTCTGGAAGCCAGGGCCAGGATGGCTCAGTTGGAGTCTTCAAATAACATTTAGAAGGGGAGCAGGTCGGGGGCAGGGGAAATTGGCGGGGGGGGGGGATGCGAGGCCAGGAGCACCCCAAACAACAACAGCAACTTCTTTTCAGTTTTTGTTTTGTTTTGAGACAGGATCTTACTATGTAGCCCTGGAACTTGCTATGTAGACCAGAATGGCCTTGATCTCACAGAGATCTGCCTGGAATAAAGGCATGTGCTATCATGCAAACTGCTTTAATTACATTTGTTTATTTACTCTGTGTGTGTGTGTGTGTGTGTGTGTGTGTGTGTGTACCACAGCACACATGTGGAGGCTAGAAAACAACTTGTGAAAATTGATTCGCTCTTTCCACCATGTGGGCTCCTGGGGACTGAACACAGGTTGCCAGCCTTGGTGGCAGGCATCTGTACCCACTGAGCTATCTCACTGGCCTCCAAACTTCACTTTTCTCTGCCTAGTCCTTCCTCAGGATAGGGAAGAGAGGTGGCTGCAAAGAGGGAGGCAGAGCCACTCTTTATCTGAATTTGACAAGTCACAAGGGGTGGGGACATTCATCTCAGCCCTTGCCAGGCTTGCAGGGAGGTGGAAGTTGTTCAAAGAAAAGGAATCTGGGGCTGGGGATGGCCCAGAAGTGCAGCGCGCTTGCATGTGTGAAGCCCTGGGTTTGATCAGTGCTGCAAACCAAAGCCAAAACTATGGTAGACATGGTGGCGCACACCTTTACTCCCAGCACTGGGGAGGAAGAGGCAGGGGGATCTCTGGGAGTTTGAGGCCAGCCTGGTCTACATATCAAGTTCTAGGCCAGCCAAGGCTTCATAGTGAGACCCTGTCTCAAACAAAACAAAACCAGACTGTAAAGGGATGAGAAGCCTAGCTGCTGGGCTGTGGCCATGGCTGCCTGGTGCCACTTATCCCTGCGGGGATACTCATTTCCTTGGGGTTGATCACTCCTGTTGCTGTTAACAGGTGAAGAAGCAAGGAGGGGGTGAAAAGGACTCCACTCTGGACAGCCCAGCCCAGGAGCCGAAGCAGGAATAGCCCACCCTCCCACCTCTCCAGCTCTAGAAGCTTCTCTACAAACAAAAGCAGCCAAGCAGACCTACCCCTGCCCCCCAGGCGGCTTCCTAAAGTTGGGGGGGCACGCGGGCCTGACAGCTCAGCAGTGCGAGGCAAGGCGGCTGCAGCCCATGGTGAACATCTGAACTCCTTGGAGGGTAACAGCGCCCCCAGACACCCACCGCCTGAGTGGCAGGAATAGCGATTCTTTGGACAGTGGCTCTCTCTCAGCTCTGTCACGCAAGAGCGCTCTCTGCACTGAGCCCATTCTGCCAAGTGACTTAAAGGGATTTTAAAAAGGAAAAAAAAAAAACAACCTTGGAAAAAAAAAAGGGGGAACACCCCCACAAGAG